CCGAATATGACGCTTGCCGATGACCAAGCGACCGCTGAGATGGTCACCCCCGCGTTACAGGTGAGAAGTAACTCACAGCTGTTTTTGCTGTATTTGTTTATTTTTTCAAGCACGATCCAATACCTTCAACGGCCATCATTCAGCAGAGTGGCATCGAAGATGAGGAAGTTGGCGAGAGTGTCGACGCGCGTGTCATTTCTTCGGTTCATTCGGTCCGAGAAATAGACGTTCTGCCTGCTTTACAAGCGTTTGTGGATGCTTCCACGCAGACGGATGCGAATGTGGAAAGCGCTTACTTGAAAGAAGACATTTTCTGTCTCGTCAGTAATGCCGATTCTTCCTGCCAGACTGAGTCACCTCCCCCGACTCGGAAATCACCTGCATCTTGCTTAAACGGTGGAACAAGCAAAGATGAATCGTCTACCGTGATAAAACACGACTCTGTGACCTTTCATAGAGAGCCCTTAATCGAATCACTATCATCCTTTAACTCAGGTATGTTTTTTTGCACGAATTTAAAGCTGAATCGATGTTCGTATGTTTCGTGTATTAACGGATTTTCAATGCTGCCAGTAAATGTAGTAGCTGAGATAAAGAAGCTGCGAGCCATCTGTGCTGATCAGGTCATGGCTTTGAATAAGTATCAGATACAATTGCGAGATTTTTAGCGATTGTATGCCATGAATTAGGAGTTCAAATGAAATAGGAGATTACCAAAGAAGAGTAGAAGTTCGAATAATCAGTTAAAAACATGAACAAGAACAGTTGTCACCGTACATATATGAATTCGTACGCTGGCATTGAGGTCAAATAGGAAGAAGCTTGTACTGTTTATAATCATCTATCATTTAATGCCCTCCTTAAACTCAACTCAGGCGTCGATATCTGGAAGAGTGGGGCAGCAAATTCAAGTCTTCAAACAGGAGACAGAAGTATTGCAAAGGTGGTTTTTTCCTTTTGTCACTTCTCAGGATTTACGCGGCGTATGTCATTTTCTTTTTGCTTCTTGTAGACCATGAAGACCACCACTTGCAGTGCATGGGCGCAAAACAGCACCACGTTTTGGGCCGAACAAATGCTAACAAATATACATGTGTCCATTGGCGTAGATACAAAAATTAACCCCAAAATATCGGTTATCGACAGAAATAACGTTCTTCTATCTCCTTTCCGGCGGTATTCAAAACTGGCAGTTTTCTGGCAAATCCATAATATCAGGGTTTAGTTTTAATCGTTATCCTTGATTTGTTTTGTCATCATAATATTTGCAAAACCTCAAGCAGCTTCAAATTTGTGATTTCAACTCATCTGTACATTTCGCACTTTGATGTCATTAATTCTGTAGGTTATTTTTATTATCTACCATAAAGATTATTCATGAACGCTAAAAACGATTTGATAGCAAGGTGATATTAATCATGGGTTGAAAAATTTCCTTTTGACTTTGAAGGGAACCCTTTTTGCTAAGAACCCAGACCTGAAATCAAGAGCCCACCGTCCATTTATGTGGGCAGCATGATCAAATCTCTTCACCGTATCTTCTACGCTTTAAACAGTGGACGACTGATAGTTGGATAGCGTGGAAAGATAGAAGCTGAATGGGTGAGATCAGAGTGTGGAACGAAAATATGATTATGTAATTTCAGTGATGACGACAGGAAATTTGGGGGAATCTTCAGACTTGTGCATGACAGCGGGACTCTCTAAAATGAGGATGACGTCTATCGTTATCCATGCATCTCAATCAGATCAAATTAAACTTGACAGTATACAAGTTAACGCATGTGAGACAGGTCATCGAGGATGAACTAGTTGAGTCACTTTACTTAATACGAAAGTTGAGTAAGTCGTATCAGGGTCTTAAGATTTACCGGCCATATTTCTGGAAGGTTAAAGATGTGCCTATTTCTTGTATTGTTGCGGACTCTATGTTATTCATGCTTTCTCACGGCAAAGTAGGTAAAAACTAGTATTCAGCGTACTCTAGGAGAGGAACAGTCTGGCCATTTGTGTATTATAATTAGTGTTTTAGTTTACGTTGTTAAGTTAGTTTAATAATATTTTTGAGATGTCATTCGATGCTCACCATATAGTGTGCATCTTGTCAGCAGTTGGGGTTTAAACCAGATCTACGTGGGTTTAGCCTTACATTCGCATCTTACACAAAGATGGCTTGTTGAAAATGATGTTTTTCATATTGCTTGCTATGCCTTTCTGTGATTGTCAGATAGTCCACGTTCGGCTTTGTGTTATTATTTTAAGCAGTTTCTAATGTACTTAATATTCTATTCCAATAATGTTAGTGATGAACAAAAGATTGCTCCAGTGAATAAAATGATGCAAGGTGCATTAACTACAGCGGCTACTCAAATACTGTGGAATCGTGACCTGCCTAAATAACCCCTTACGCACCTAGGAACAAGGGAGAGAGCAATGTTCTGTGAAATCTGTTCTTTGTCATTAAAAGTCATTTCCTCATGTTAACTGCTTCCCATATTTAATATTCTGGTTCATATTTAATTCGTGGTCTTCACTGGTGTTACGTCAGTTACGATCAACTTTTGTCAAACTTGCTTTGGAAACCAATTAGCTTTCGTTTAGGTGTCGTTAGGCCGGTGACCACAGTGGTAAGGAAGCGGAAAAGAAGGCGACTCAGGCGTCTAAATCAGACCTCGCCTTACACGAGTGAAGGTTCGACGAACGTTCAAAATCGCCCTCCTTTGACTCCTTATAAAAGCGTTGTTCCACCATGCAATATTAGTGTGTGAAATTTCGCACCGAAGGGAAAGTAAATTAAGTCTTTACAACTGCTTAAAGCTCAATGACAGCTGGTACCTTAGAATATGATGATTTAAAGGAAATTTTTGGTGGAAAACTGCTGAATGATTTGGGCGACAAATTTTATTGGAAACGTAAAATATCGTTTTAAAACTTAAATGTTTTAAATATGGGAACAAGAAATTAACCATTTTGCACAAAATAGTCATCCACTATTTTGGTCGCCTTTCCCGTTCTGCTATAATTTTTCTGATCTCGGTGGTTCTTAATTTGGTCTTTATTTTGATATCCTCATTTTAACGTTAAATGAGTTTTCGGTTAGGAGTACAACTTTGCCATAGTGTTCTTCTTGACTGGTTGCTACGGCTGTCACTGTCACAGGTTTAGCCAGTTCTAGTGACGTCCCTGATTGGTGCTTTCCGCGTCTGTCAATTACACGCAGTATCTGCCACCACGTTCAGGCAGTCCTTATTCCACTGTTGGTATCCTTACTCTCGGTGTAGAGAGGACTTCAATGCAAGCTCTGTCAGTGGTTATCTTCTCCAAGGATTCTTCAGCCCCTATCACCAAGTACATAAGCTCATGTTTCGTACGAAAACCTTGCTAATTCATCACCGATTTTGTCAACACAAAATTGCCTGATCATCTATCAAAAATCAACAATAGCTAAAGAATAATCAACAGAAACGTAGCATATACGCTTTCAAATGATAAAATAGGTCGGTTTTGATTATCGTTTATTCTTTCGGGTCACGGAGGCACACTTGTTAGACAATATCGCACATTCTCAAAACTGTGCCACCCTTTGAAATTCAACATAAGCTAACCCAACTCTCGAGCAGTCCGTCGACACACTTGCTTCAGGGTGCTGCTGATCATCCCCAGTCTTTGAGTGATCAGTGGAACAAGTAGTAGCTGTTTCGCCTTCGTTTCTGGAAGCATTCGCAAGACGTGTCCAGTTCATCACAGATGTGACTTCTCAATCTGGAGAGGCAGCGAAGGAACGCAGAAGCTCCCCTGGATATATAAACTGTGGACCGTGTGTGGACCAAGAGATTCGTCTCATAAAGTCAGTTTCAGCTACTTGTGTCTAGCGTCGGTTTTTCAGTCATAGCCCATGACTCATGACCGTAAGTCAGAATCAGGATGAAGATCGATTTGAACATGTTTATACACAGTGTGAAAAACCCTTGCAACCAACTGTTGCTTCCCTGCCGCTCTGAAGACATCCGGGCATCGTTTTCTTGACCCAAAAACAGAACAAGTGGGTCTATCGAAATACACTTGGCAACTGTACTGATTTCTGCAAACAATACATTTCCTGTACACTTTTCAGCGTACGAGTATAATGTAATTTGATTACTTCAATCTGTCGTTCAGAATGATCCATAAACATTTCACGATTATGCTTCGCTGAGAAAGAAGTGGTTCCATTTTTATACAGAATTTGCGATTCACGAAATGACTGTTTTCGTTTTAGTGACGCTTGCTTCATTAGACATTATGGACAAAACACAACCTCTACGCATCATGCAGTTGCAACACTTGAATGCCAATAAATATATTACCGAAGCGTTACATTACTGGTACCTTATTTGCTAAGCGTTTGTTATGAATACGTTTTGAAGGATTATCACAAACTATGCATCAGTAGAGCAAGAAAACGTCATTAACTACATGGCAAATAAGAAAACTGTATTTGAAGAAGATCCTTAATTTACCTAGTATGTTCATTCTCTTATACTAAATAGTAATTTAAACCTAAATCCGCAGGCGACAGAGTTATGGATTCGGTTTACTTTAAAGCTTACTGAGATAATGCGAAAAACAGGCATACTGCAACCTTGGACTGCAACAGCAACTCAGTTTCAGTCCATTATGGTATGGACCGAGTACCGTAATGGACTACGAAACCAGCACTATTAGCCAAAAATAAACTGGTTAGATCGGCTTAACCATGAGCATGGTGTCGTAGACAGTAAGGCAGGTTTGAACCAATCAAATATTTCTTCTGTGGTTGTCATTTGGTAACTCCAAATGGTAACACTGACATTCCAGTCGAAAAACAGTACCCTTGCCATTTTACTTGTGAGATTATTAATAAACCCATCCTATCGACTAGCTTCTCCACAGAAACAAGCTCAATTGGACCTGTGATGAAGCAATTTCTTAAAACAGATCAGTGATTTATTTTAAAGAAATTCTTCAAGCGAACAGATCAAGTCCCATATCTTCATCAGACTCTTCCTCTACCTTTTCTTCCTTCTTTTCCTCTTTCTTCGGTGCTTCAGCTGCAGTTTTCGCGGTTTCTGCTTTTGCTCCGCCGGGACTGGTGGTGGTGGCAACAGGGGCCGATCCCGTCGCACTACTAAGGTGGAAAATAAGGTCCTAAAACATTCAATTTTACAAGAATTATAATTCATATGCTTTGAAACGTCGTGCCTTTAGATCCACCCCTTCAACAGCTTTGGCAAAAAGGCCCGGCCAATAAGGATCGATATTAACATGAGCAGCCTTGAGGATGCTGGCGATTTTTTCGCCCGTAATCGCGATGTCATCGTCGTAAAGAATCATTGCCGCGTACACGCACGCCAATTCTTTGTCGTGAATCATTTTTTATATGTAGAATTTCAAGTGCAAGTCGCGCAAAGGCCTTGGCTCAAATGAGAACAATGCACTTTAAACTAAAAACAGTGAATGTAAATTATCAAGTTTAGCATAAACACATCTAGCGAAGAATACAAGGAAAATAAAATAATGACGGATACTAGATAACTGCATAAACATTACCAAGCATCATAACAATAAATAACAAGGGGCAAAAAGACGCCATTTTTTAGCAGCGGCAACAGAACCCATAAAAAGTTTATTAATTATACAATTAATTAAAAGCTTTCCACCGCCCTGCTGACAACATTTCGTAGGTTTCCGTAAACTTTCGATGGAGGGCTGCCTAAAAAATGAATAGCATGTTAATCAACTCAGAAACAACTAACTGCTACCTAAGATCAAACTGCACACAGCGTTGCGAGCAATTCTAGTGTTCTGATACGAGCCCAGAATATGAATTTTACTGTCTGCCAAAACAATACGCGTTTTGGTCACATTTTCGATGGTGAACTTCGTTCGGCCGTCTTTTCCAGCAATTCGCCCGATCGCCCTCGATAAGTGATCCCCTTTTAAGGGCTTTACTGAAACCATGCAAGGGATACAAAACAGAAACGAAAAATCGATTATATGATATATACTGAATATGTAACGAAAGAAAGCAGTAATGATTCGCTGCTATAATGCCGCGTGAACTGATTCTGAAACATGCTATAG